CACAGTACACTGGAGACCACCAATTCATCAAGACAAGCTGAGAGGGATCCCACTGTCTCTACCTCCCCAGCACCAGAATTGTGGGATGGCACTGGGAGTCGGAACCCAGGTCCTCAAGTTTGCTTGGGAAGCACTTCATTAACTGAGCTAACTCCTCAGCACCCTAATCCAGACTTCTACAAACCTTACGCTCATATGTAAATGTATACTAGATGTTTGTTGTTTGCTTGTTTAGTATTTATCCATTCTTCTCCAAAAATTGCACTATACTTTTGTTTTATAGTAGATAAAGAGCTGTTTCTTTTCTCAAGTAAAATGCCTTTCCCTGACAAAAGGGTGAAACTGTATTCTAAGTGAGGCAATGATGACTGTCTTCCTAGATCCCAAGTACTACAAGCATATGATTGGAGTTTATACTTTGCATTATGTCATTAGAACTACGCTTTTCTTCTACTCTTTGAATTTGTTTCAGATTCTATCCATTCAATAGACTTCTTTATACAGATATCTTCTTGGTTAAGTCAGATTGTAATCTTACAAATTAAGACACTGAAACTCCCAAAGCCTATAGTACCCCTATAACTCTGAATTCATTTTCCAAGCATGTTTTATATGTTTGTAATTACTTGCTATTAAAATTAATAGATATGAAGAGGCTTTCAATGAACACTGGTTGACTTATTCACATAACACTTGATTTTTAATGCCTTTTATTTGTTCTTCAAGTCTTTCATTCATGTGTATAAAGAATTTTGATCATGTCTGCCCCATCATTCCCACCTCTCACTACTCACAGACCTCCCTCTTTTATTTATTCATTTTTTTTTTGTTTTTACGAGACAGGGTTTCTCTGTATTGTTTCGGAGGCTATCGGTCCAGCCTGGCCTCAAACTCACAGAGATCTGCCTGCCTCTGCCTCCCAAGTGCTGGGATTAAAGGCGTGCACCACCACTGCCCGGCTACTTACTCATTTTTTAAATAGTAGATTTTTATGATGTTTAAAAATGAATGACTCATGATAGCAATAAAAATGTTAGGAATACGACCTTGGTTTCTTTGCTTTCACTCCTGCCATGCCTGGAAAAAGGAACAAAACACAAAGAATAGTTGAAAATTGTAGACCCTTGCTGAGACTGATTCAATTTCATGTGCATTTCCCTAGTCCTCCCTGGGCACAGCAGAGACCTTATCTGAAGTTCTGCATCATCAGTATCATGACCTTCATCTTCATCCACTCATACACCTCATACACCTCATACAATTAGACTACATTGTCCTCATTTTCTTAGTAGGTACATTGTGCTGCAGGCTCATATGAAGTCCCCAAAGAAACTCTCTGGAATTAAGAGAGAGAGAATGGAGTATTGGAGTATCTGCATTTGACTTCACTTATGATGGGTAGTTAACATGAACTGGTGATCAGAAAGAGAAGGATGTTTTGTCTCTTTTTAGTGAATTTATGTTGCCACTCGGTGAATATGATTTATTCTTTATAGTGATTTTTGAGCCCTGGAGAGAAATGCGTTGGACTCAAATACAGTGCATGCATTGCCATCTTTTGAAAATTGTAGTATTTCAACTGTTTCCTTGGAAAAATTTCCCCTCTGCTTAATTTCTTCAGCATGACTATTTCTGCCATGACTATAAAGAGGAAATCAGGAGCTTCTAGGCACAATGATAGGCTTCTAGCTTGCCATACAAGAAGGCTGGAGCTGCATTTTATTGAGGTCTAAACTTTATAAAAAGAATCTTTTTGTTACATTTTGTGTGTGTGTATATGTGTGTATAGGAGTATGTAGGTAGGGGTGTGTATAGGTGTATGTGTAAGTGTGTATATGTGTGTGCAAGTATAGGGGTATATGTAGGTTTGTATATGTGTGTGTGAAATGTGTGTGTAGGTGTGTGTGTGTGTGTGTGTGTGTGTGTGTGTGTGTGTGTAGGTATGCATCCCATAGCATGCATGCGCAGATCAGAAGATAATTTCGAGAATGGTATTGAACTCAGGTCCTTACGTTTGCTGGCAAGAGCTTTTATCCACTGTGTCATTATGCTAGATCCCATAAAAGGATTTTGTTTTTTATCCAAGCACTCAGGGAATTAAAGTAGGATTGTAAATTCAAATCCAACCCAGAGTACATAAAGAACTCCTGCCTTAAAGTAGAGGAAACAAAAAAAGATTCATTTTTATTTATGCTTCTGTGGAATATCAGTTACGGAACACGTTACCACTGACTGACTTAAGACTGTGGAAGGTGAAGTATTAGGTAGATAGTAGAATATAGTCAACTGGAACTTAGTAGAGGTATCTAGGATGAGAAAGTCACTGCGTAAAGGCCATCAACGATACAGGGCCACAGGGAGTGAAGTATAAGGTGGTTATATACAGAGACATTTCCCAAGACCTGGGGGTACTCAGGTGCCTACATATCCACTGTGAAGGCTGAGGAGATCCTGAAGATGACATAGCTAGAGACAAAGTGAAGGTAATGTCCTGGGAGCTGAGAGGTAAGTGTTTCTGGTTTTTCCTTTCGCCCTGTGAATTCTCAGACTTTAAGTCAGTCTGTTGGTTCTATGGGATCCCAAGAACTCTAACTTATAAGAATTCTTGTTTCCTCCAAGAAAACTCTGAACTAGATTGAGACTAACTCTCCCCCAAGTTCTGTTGCCTATGACACAGTTGGAAGAACTACATTACTTCAGGGTCATGGGTCCTCATTTCTTAAATCAGCTCCACTTGGTGCCTACAGTCACTGTGCAATTGTAACAGGCCATGACCTCATTATGCCCTGGCTAGCAAAGGTTCAGGGACGTCAGAATCCACAAAGACCTCTATAGGGGGCCTGGGGTATGGCTTCCCAATAAAGCAAATGTTTAGTGCCTGCAAGCACTACAAAATCACAAGTGAGTGCCCTGCAGGTTGCTGGATCAGCATGTAAGGAAGGTGATTTGGTCTAGCTACTGTTTTCTTCTTGGAGAAACCAAGAAACTGAGCTGTGATGCACATGCCAAGGAATCATGAGAAACAATTATGGCTGATAAACTTCTCAAAAGCCATCTCTCATGGAACACATCACAACACCCCTCAGTATATTATGTGAAAAGATGACAACATCTAGAGTTTCAGAATTATTATGACTCCTTTTCTTTGAAAACTTCAATCTATTAGCCCCTAAAGTGATATACAGATATTGATTGGATCTTTCCCTAATTAAGAGCATGTGTCTTTCTATTGTCATACATTATAGCTGTGACACTGCTTTCACACCCCCTAATGTACTAGGATACAAACAGGGAAGGGAAAATAAGAAGAGAGATTTTGGATTATTTGATCATTCATACTTTTATTTTTTTATAGCGATCTTTGCCAATTCCTAACAAAAATAAATAAAAACTGATAATAACTTGTAAGTTACAGTCTCTTTCACTTTCTTAAGGTACACAGCTATCAAAGCTGATATTACCAGCAAACAAATTGATACAATTCAGTACCCTGATAACATTCATAATCAAATAAGTTTGAGGGTGAACACAAATACAACTTTATGTTCCATTAGAATCTTTAATGGAAGCTTTATATCAGAGTGCCTCTTCAAGCCTACAAAGTGCAATTACAGAGTACAAAATGACAAAAGAAAAAATACACTGTATTACATTCAGCAGCATCAGGTTTGAATAGCAGGGATCTTAGATATATGTATTCTTCAGTTAAAACTTTCAAATGTACCCCAGAAATGCTCCCCTTCTTCCCACAACATTAGAAAAATTAGAAAATATTGAGCAGCAAATAAAACTTGTTTCAAAAAATCTGACAGAAGTTGAAGCAAAAATGACAAATTTGCTCTGATAAAAAATTTGACGGCAACTTTACTGTTTACTGACTGAATGAAGTCAAAAGTAGACACTTGGTCATGTCACATATTTGCTAGGTAAATAATTGGTATCTTTCAGCAGTTGAATTTAATTAGCTATCTTCTCAAGGACTCAAAAATAAAATATTTAGCTTTTCCCATTGATTGACTCTTGACAGATAGGGTAGGGTGAAAAGATGTAAGAAAACTAGAGTTACAATGTGGGATGGAGGCGTTATGTAGTAGAAGACTAAAATTTTAAGGTTAAACTTCAGTGTTGAGTAAGAGCATAATGTCTTTGCTTACAGGATACATTTACTGGGTTACTAGGTAGACTTGGTGGGAGACTGTAAATTATATAATTTTGCATCTAGAATTGCTTTGGTTCTCAATACAGGCTATATATAGCCTTGATGATGCCCCAGTGTGAGTGTGTGTGTGTGTGTGTGTTTGTGTGTGCACAATACACTGAGAGATATGTATGACACATGAATTGATTGTAGTCTTTTTATGCTTCCTTAGCATAATCCTTTACTAAAACAATGAGTTTTTAATTGCTGTGTTCACCCAAAACCTGTAATCTCCATCATACTTTTTTCATTATTAATATGCTTTTATGGGACCACAGGTGTAGCACGAAAGTAGTGTTTACACAACATGGTTAAGGCTCTGAGTTTTAGTCCCAGATTTGATATCAAAACAAAAATATATAAGATATAATTCTTTCCTGAAATATTTTCAAAAACATCCAAAAATATGCAAAGCTACCCCAAACTTCTTGCATCAAGTTATGTGGTGGCTTCTGTAAATTAACTGGCTGTATTGTAGCCCAGTCTTTGATGAGCTTTATACTTTTATCTGGAGTAGCTAAGGTCACTTAAATTAGGCCAGCCTTCTTTATATCCAGTTGGTATCAATGGGATTTAAAATGTGTTCTTATACAGGACCTTAGACTTTAGCTAAATAAAATGACAAAGAAATATGCTTTTAAGCCGGGCGGTGGTGGCGCACGCCTTTAATCCCAGCACTCGGGAGGCAGAGGCAGGCAGATCTCTGTGAGTTCGAGGCCAGGCTGCACCGACAGCCTCCAAAACAATACAGAGAAACCCTGTCTCATAAATACCAAAAAAAAAAAAAAAAAAGAAAGAAAGAAAAAAGAAATATGCTTTTAAATGTCACCGACTTTCATTTCCCTTTCTTTTTAAAAGTGAGTATGTTGGTCAATACTGAAACAAATGGCTGTAATTCTGCAAAGTGTGGAGCTTGTGTCCTGGACCATGTATCCAGGAATGCATGTGTACATTGCTTATTTTATCTGCTCCTCTCCCTCATAGTAAGACCAGGACTATTGATGGGAGCTGTGTGAACCTTCCAGGATTTTGCATGAGTGACACCGTAGGACAGCAATGTTTTCTTCCCTAGCATTCTGGAGGTCAGAGGCAACTCATGATGGTTCTGTTGCCCAGGCACATGCCAGGAAAAAGTCGGAGGAAGGATAGACCCTCCCTGACCTGGTATGTGTTCCAGTCTCCACCTAAGGTTGAGCATTCGGTTAGGCAGCCTCCCAGGAAAGGCAAAGGTGTGCCAGCAGGGACTCCTGAGGCAACTTCACAGGATAGTCTAGTGACTCACTAAAACCTATAGGCTGAGAGTGGAGAACAACCTCTCTCTTTCCATAACAGCAAACAAATGACAGCAAAAAGGTCAAGATTTCATCTTAGCTTCCATGGGAATGCACAGTTAAGTCTAAAATTTAAAAAGCTTTCAGATGCCTTTTTCCTTTAGAAAAATACACTGTGATTTATTTTTCCCATATTTTCCTCACTTCCTGTATTTGGATTTATGTTTTTAAAACATAACTTTAAAACCTGAAATAAGATATAGACTGAACTATTTGTTAGTAAAAATTCTTTTGAAACTAGGTATGGTAATGTGGGTCTATAATCCCAGAACCAGGGAGGCTAAGGCAGGAGAATTACCATGACCTTGGAACTAGTCTGAACTAAAGAGTGAGACTCTGAGTTAAAAAAGAAAAATAACAACAACAATAGCAAAACAAAAGCAAAAGTAAACAAACAAAACCTCTTGAATAAAAAATTAAGAAGTACATTTGTATATTAGCCAAGATCTGACTAGCATTCTGTTGTATTTTAAATGTATGATTAATTTGATTTTGGATTCTGATTTAATCCTATAATTCGTCAGTAAATTCCCTATAAAAATAAATAATCTAAAATGGAATTCAAATTTTCTTCAAATGTAGATTTGCTGACTGATATTCAACAGTCACTTCACATAAATGATACACTCTACATACATGGAATGCCCATTGTTCAGGTAGTTTAGCACAGGGGCTTGTCCTTTATCCCCTCTAGGCACATCTGGACCACATAGCAGGGATGCTGAAGAGACATCCTCTCCAACACTGGTTGGCTCAAGTGTGTGGTGGGAGGCACACAAGTTCCGTTTACCTCCCCTTCTTATTACTGTTTTAATACATGAAGCAGTGGTGCCAATGCCTGTGCCAAGCCATGATATAGTCAAGTCAGTTATCACAAGTCTGAGAAGTAGGAAATAAATGACTCACACGATTGATTTGACCATACTTCACTTGCAACAGACTGGGCACTGCTCACTTGAAGTACTGCACCAGCTTACTGAGCTTGGATGCTTTTCAATAAAGCATTTAACTCAAGAAATTATTACAAAAATATCAATTTTCTTTTGATATTAAATATTTTACATATAATATATTAGCAAATAGTCTGTCAAAAAATAAAACACTTTCCAAATGTATTAAAAATATACAGTCGTTGACCTAACACATGACCCAACATAAATACTATTAATAAAGTGAAATATTAACATTAATCAGGAAAGCTATGCATCCTGGTTCATAATTTGAGGGTGACGCTCAGACTTGTGGCACCGCTGGGTCTCCAGAGGTCACTCTCTCGTATTCCTTCTTTGATTTCTTACTTTTCCTATATTTGTACCTAGAAAAACACCAGAAAGGAAGCAGCACTGTAATTAACAGACATAAAAACAAACTCTGAAACAAATACATGGAATCCAAGAGCACATTAAGAAAGGCACCCAATCAGGCAGTGGTAGTATACACCTTTAATCCCAGCACTCAGGAGGCAGAAGCTCCTGAGGTGGATCTCTGAGTTCAAGGTCGTCCTGGTCTACATGGTTAAACAGTTAGCACCATGAAAGGGTTTCTCTAAGAGCTTAACATGAGCACAAAGATGTGAACTGACAGGAGGAATTCGCCAACATCTTTTTCTATCAGTTTCTTTCACCAGTATTCAGTTCTGTTGCATCTACTTAGATTCATATAGCCTGAATGGATCTTCTAGTGAACCTTGAATCACCCCTAGATTACATCTGAAACCTGACACAATGCCAAAGCTCTATAATACCTGTTATACTATGTTGTTCAGGCTCAGTACAGACACTATTTTCAAATTCTAATTAGGAAAGTATTATCATCGGATGGTTAATTAGAATAAAATCTAGATAAAATCTAGTTCTAAGACCAACTTCAAACTAAGAAGAATAAACTGGAAAGATTTTTATGGGTGCTATTAACTATTCATACTGTTTCACAAGTCCTGTCAAATTAAAAACCTTGACAAATTTAGTTATATTTCTTTTCAGTTACCATTTTGTAATAATATCCCTGTAGGGGTGAATTCTAATTATTATAGTATGAAACTTTCAAGCTGTATTTTATAAAGAAATGGATATTCCTTGCTTTGACATTTATATGCACATAAGCAGGAAGTAAAAGTTAGTAATTTAATGACCCTGGGTGTAAAGCAGAAAAGCATTTTTGTAAATACCACAGTGCAGATCCCATCTTATTTCTCTCATACTATGTTTAGATTTCAACCAGTTTATAGGTCTGTTACTGGGTAGTTTTAAAAACAATAGGATATTAAGCTAACTGGCTTACCATCTGCAGAAATAGTATATGGATCCAGCGATTATGACAAGGAACAGGAGAATAACAATCACTGTCAGTGCAACGTATTCTTTGCTCAGGGGTTTGTGGACGGTTAGAAAGAAGTGTTCACACCGGACGCCAGTATAGCCCACGTCACATCTTTAAAAAAATGCAAAGAAAATCAATTATTTTAAAATGAAGTCATGTTATGAGTTAGTGTTAGAAGAACTACATTTTCACTGCAATAGAAGAAACCAGCAAGATTTGTTTAAAGCTACAAAAAGGAATTCAAAAATTGAGCTCAGATTTGGGCCAACAGACTGCAATGGCAAAAGGACAATATGAAGGGACTGCTGAGGTACTGGTCATCTAGAACGGTTTAGTATATAGATATGAGACTTGCTGTTGTTATTCTAATTAGTAGGATTATTCTTTTTAATTCATTTATTTAATTTAGAAGCAATCTTATTTTACATAGCAATCCCAGTTCCCTCTCCCTCCCATCCTCCTATTCTCCCATTCTCCCTACCTTCCCCCCCATCCCATCCCCATCCACTCCCCAGGGAGGCTGAGGCTTTCCATGGGGAACATCAAAGTCTGTGACATCATTTGGGGGAGGGCCTGGGACCTCCTTTGTTTATCTGGGCTAAGAGAGTATCCCTCCATGGGGAATGGGCTCCCTAAGTTTATTTGTACCCTAGAGATAAATACTGGTTCCACTGTCAGAGGTCCCATAGACTGTCCAGGCCTTCTAACTGACACCCACATTCAGGGGGCCTGGTTCTGTTCAATGCTGGTTCCCTAGCTTTACAATTGGGGTCTGTGTGCTCAAAGCAATGGCTTGTAGAGAATTTCAATAAAGGTAGAGCTGTCATTGAAGTAAGAGGGGAAGCATCTGAAGTTTCCCTCACTATTGTGCACCCCAAATTATCTGTCCAGATTGAAATACTGTATTTTCTCTCTAATTTCAACAAAATAATAAAGGTTTTATATTATATATAAAGCACATTTCAACAGCCCATAAAAACATAGTAATTACATATAAAAGGAGAGGAAAGTGTAGACTTCGGGACTGTCATCATATGCTCGTTGGAGTCACTTACCTGCAGTAATTGTCACTCATGTCCACCAGGTAGATGCACTGTCCGTGCAAGCAGTAGCCATTCATGTCAGAGCTACACTTTGTAATTGACACTTGTGCCACACGGGGATTGTCTTCCATCTGAACTGTGAAGAGAACAGAAAGATGAATGGCTTGTGTCGTGGGACCCCCAAGTGCATAATTATCCTTTAATAATAATAACCTCTATGAAACTTCAGCAGACAGGTCAGAGGTCAGCAGTGGAGTTACTCTGCTTTACTACATTTCTCCAGCCTAACAACAAACACCTGAACACACAGCAGGCCCCCAAACAATAAACAAACACCCGAACATACAACAGGCTAAAAAACACTACTCGAGGATATAATTTTCAAAAGACAGGCAGACAGAAAATTATCCAAAGAAAAACAAACAAACAAAGCAGTGGTGGAGGGAGGCTAACAAAATTCCAGAGACCTTGGTGGTGATGGACAGGGAAGAAGAAGATAACCTAGAACTGTATTCAGCCCAGACCAAAGCACAGAGCGGTCCCTTGGGGAAATAATGACTGCCCATCATTCATCTTTGTATTTCCTCCTTAACAAGATGCTAATTCACCCCAAGCACTCCATCGATGTTTCCTAGACACTATGACTGAGGTGGAATTAGAACATTTGTTCCTCTGACATGCTGCATCTATCAAGAAAACGTACTGGGTATGAAGTGTACACTTTCCTGTTCTTCATGGGAATTGTCCCTTCAAATGTTCTCCAGTAATGACTTTATACTAAATATGCTTTTCCTTATTAACATTCTAAAACTCATTTTTTTAAATCTATAGCCTCATGTCTTAACTTTCTTCCATCTTTACTCCTTCATGAAATTTCTCTGGATCTCTAGTTAATTATAAGGTTAAAAATTGATACAGCAGGCATTGCTTCCTTTTGCTTCATTAGCATGTGTTTATATTTACATTTTATTTACAAATGTGTAAAACTCTGATGCTGCTTTCATGACCTCAAGCTTACCTAAAGCTGTGCAATTGTCTTCCGAGTCTCCTGGGATGCATGATGGAATCACGGTTGTGCTGATAACACCTTGTAGAAGGTGGAAACCTAGTCATACAAGATAAAATACATAATTAATGCCCCAAGAAAAGAACTTTCACTAAATTTCTACAATGAGAAGTGTTGTTTTAAGAAGTTAGTTCATCAAAGTGATAACAGAAAAAGTAATTTTTGGAAACATATAATTGAAAATAAGTGCTCCCTCTTATAAATAGGTTTTAATTTACAAAATATAATATAGATAAAATGAGAATACTGCTGCCCTTTATGTTCATGGGGATTAGCTCTATCATCCCTCACAGATACCTAATTTGCAGATGTTCAATTCCCTTTTACAAACTGGTATAGAATTTGCATATAACCTGAGTGTGTCTTGTGTCTCCTAGTGTACTTCAAATCATCTCCAAATTACATCTAAAACCCAATACAATGCAGATACTATATGATACCTATTATATTGTGTTGTTTAGGTTCAGTATAGACACTATTTTCAAATATTTGAACTCATGGATACAGGCGGAGCATCAGTATGTCTTATCTAATACAAGAAGAAACTGATGAACCATGACAAGCTGTGCAAGCCCTAGCATTTAGTTTCTGTCAGCACAAAGAAATTGAAACAACTGTCTCATTCAGGAAAAAGATAAATGTTGGAAATTAAGCATCATAATGACTCAAGCCATGTCTGAATTGTATAGAAAACATGATAAGAACCTTCTAATTATATACCAGTTTATGCAAGAGCATTTTGCCTCTCCTGTTTAATCTTTGTGTATTTGCATTCCAACCCTCTTTCTGGCCTGTAGGAGTTACTATTATATAGTCAATGCCTATGCTGGTAGTAGTAGCAGCAGCAACAATTGACAAGTCTCATACATGAACTGTGTAGAGGCATTGTTCTGTTCATTTTATCCTCACTCTTTCATGCTCTCAGCAATGCTAAGGAAGGCACTATTACCTCTATCAGACAGAAAACAAAACTACAGAGCATGAAGAATTTAAATAACTTCTCCCAAGGACGCACATTAAATGGGCCACATGATTGGATTTGGAAATGAGCAACAATGCTTGATTATAATGAACATCACATGCAGCACACTAGACTAAAGCAGGGTCCTTTTTTGCATTATGGACAGGCAAAGGAATGGTAAAATGAAAATGGTGTGAGAAAATTTGATCTGCATTACTTGGACACACACAAAAAAATCACTCCCCCAACTCTCAAGTTTTCTTACAGAGTTTTAGGGAGACTGAAATGGATTTTTTTTTTCAGAAATGCCTCATGTATCAGAGATTCCCATAAATATTCCCAACAGTCAATGTCGAGCCTCTAGTTTGAATAAACTATCCAGGTAGTGCCCTCTACTGGTTTATAGTTAGATTATAAATCCCTATAATTAGGCATTTAAATGCATTTAATCCATATTAGTAATATTTTTTTCTTGATCAGAGGAACTTTGAACTTACTAACCAAATTTCATATGACAGTGTTCCAAATGTTAAGCACAGATCAACATCAAAGTCAGCCTCATGGTTTCTGCTACCATGTTTTAAACTTGGCCCAACAATCCTGCTCATGCTAAAGAGTTGTATGCACCCCAAATGAGACCAGTGTATGCTAATTAAATGTCTTTACAACATCAATTATCAAGTCACCACAGAAGACAACCCCTAAGGCACCAGTTTCATATTCTTTCAGTAGTTTGAAACCACTGAAAACTTTAGGAGCAATCATTCCCCAGTCACATGTCTCCATGCAATATAAATTGCTTTTATAGGCCAAATTTAATCTTTCTTAAATGACCAAGAAGAAGAATAAAAGACTGATGTCTGAATTGCACTGTCAGTTAAACCTAGATGCAAACTGTTTTCCATGTGGATGTGATCTGGTGGAGGAGCTAGAGTCCAGTTTTTCTCTACAGGTGAAATATTTGTCTTTGTAGATTACAGAATGTTCAGCCCAGGGTGTGCCTCCATGAGCCTTGGCCTCCCCTAGCCTGTGACGCTTGTGTGGAGATAGTCCATTGCTCGGGACAGTTTTCTGTGAGACTTGCTATGTTAATCCACTGGCAGAATATTTTGCAGATTAAGTCATAAATAATCATATTAAAGTTTGGGATCTATCATAGTGCTCTATCATATCCAGGTATGATCAGTGAACAGCAAAAACAGATCTGCATCATCTATCTTAGTACACAGCTGAACCGATGTAAAACAGGGGTCTTCACTGGTCCTTAGGTGTGCCTGTTGCAAGACTTTGCAGACTGAAATAGAGTAGTAAATGTGGTGATTAGAAGGTTGAAAAGCCCATAACCAGAGGTTTGTGAAATCTACTCCTGTTGCTTTTGCGAAACATTTTTCCATTGAGAATTGAACCTAGAGCATTGTCCATATTAGGCAAGCATTCTACCATTAAAATACAACCCCAGCCCAGTAGTTACTGTTATAAAGTTATACAGGGTAGGGATAAGTCCTAGTGTCATAACCACTCAGTTCCTTAGTCTCACGTTTTTCATTATTTTAGTGGGTTTGTGTCTCACAATCTATGGTTCGACTGCAAATATTTTACTTAGTTTTTTGGTCCCTTACAAGGATTCCCGCTAATAAAGTAATTCACTAAGTTAATTTTTTTATGATAATGTCTGTCTCAAAATCTGACATGGTGGCAACACTGACCCTGGTTGCTAAGATGCTGAGGAAGTCTGTGCGAGGTGACATAGGTAGAGGACCTATGAAACTGGTGCTCATAATTTCAACTTCACTATGAAAAACAAAGACCACAGTCGCTTCAGGGATTCTCATCTGGGTCACAGCTCCAGGTGGGTTTAGGAACGTGGTGCGCCCTGTTCATCTTTCCCTTCACCTTTTGGGGTTGCATCTCAGTGAAATCTCAAATATGCCAGCAGGAAGCGGAGCCACTGACTCACAGGATGCAATTCGCCTCTTCCCTGTGAGTCAGGGCCCAACCCACTCCCTGAAGCAATGATGGGGACCGTGCGTGTGCGTGGGAGAGTCTGAGTATGATCACCGGAATGGGGATAACCCTGACTGCCGTGAGTCCTGGAGTGCCAGCACCAGTTGCCCAACAGTCAAGCAGAATATCCGACACAGAAAATGTCCTCATTGCCTATAGATTTTTTCTGACCCGCTTCCTAGTGATGACACTGGGGGTGAGGGTTGAGGTGGGGAGGAGGGAGGAGGGAGGACTCTTCTAGAAGACCAATAGAAAGGAATTAGGTATTCCGTGACTGGCAGAGAAAAAAAAAACACCTTAGCAAAATATTCCCAAGCCTCAGGCAGAAAAATAACTTCTTTAAAAAACAATCAAGCAAATAAAAACGGTCCAAAACAAATGATGTTGATGAATGAGAGGTGTTCACCTTCTTTTCCCAATGAAATCTTTCAGAATATGTAGACCAGAACAGCAAACTCACTATGAATCACGGTATTTGCTTGGCCCAAACAGGTAACCGAATCCGCTGTGAATCTCTTTCCCATGCTTACACTCGCTGGCCTGCTCTAGAACTGTTAGGTTTTCTACCTTCTTCCAAGGTTTGACTATAGAATTTCTTGGTAACAGTTGACCTATGGCATTGTGTGTGCTTAGAAGACACGAAGGCAGTAAAGGTGCATTTCTTTGTGTTTTAATCTCACTGTTTGATGCTTTGTTTTATCTTGGTTAAAATAATACAAAAAATCTGTCCAATCAGGTCATGAAAAGATCTACTCTCTGTACTTTCAAGAAACAATCTATATTCCAGACATTATGCATGTGTATGTATATATACAAGTGTGTGTGTGTGTGTGTGTGTTAACCTTGTCTTATACACTCTGTTCCTACAATATTTAGTTAGTGTCATTATATTTAAGCACCCATTAAAGGTAAATATAAGAAAAAACACCTATATTTCAGATAAAAAAGCACAAGAGATTGATATAATACAGATATAAAAATATTTACTTTAATTTTTAGTTTTAAAAGATCCAACAAATTTTCCTTGGCAAGTGGCAAGGAATGATTTAATGTGCCATTTTCAACAGTATGCATTAATATTTGTTCCATAATTTAAGTAGCAACTTCTAAACCATACTTTAAAGTGTTTATGTATTTGAGTTTTCATATGATATACTAAAGCAATTCAAATTAAGAATGAGTCTAAATATACAGGAAAAATCAAGTGCTGTACCTGGTAAATAGTAGAGATCCTCATTCATAGTAAAAGTGTTTCCACTATGAAAGAAAATGAGGGGAATGTTGGATAAGGTGTAAAACATTAATCTTGGTGTTTGGGAATTTTATGACTTAGAATCCTAAAGATCAGACATGGTTCTCCTAATAGCTGGAAATGAATCTGCAGAGTGTTATTTTAATTCTATTGAAATTTTTTTCCTTAAAATAATCTAACATGGGCAGACATTTGCAAATGTGCTTCCTTCCATCTTGTTTCTACCTTCATTGATTCAAAGCAGAGATGTAAATCTTTAATTTTGAAACAGAAGAATCATAAAGGATCAACAGTTGGATTCTGGTGTTTGTCATTTGATGTCTTTTTATTGTAGTCACAGTTATGCCTGAACCCTAGAATAGTTGAGGACATTTCTAGACATATGCTAACCAGTTTGCTTCTTCTGTAGATGCTGGATGCCAAACATGAATTTCTTCACAAGGACAAATCTTTAATTAGTGAACAGGTGCAAGCTCACACACACCTGCATTTGCATCCATATGCATGAGAGAGAGAGAGCATGCACACACACAGGAAAATGATTATAGACAAAGTCACTTAAACACCCTATTATGTTGTTTAAAGGAGGTTTAAAAGATAAGTTCTCTTCATGTAGCTCAATCAGTCCTCAAACTTTCAACCCCCCACCCCGGTCTATTGAGTTCTTGGAATACAGGCATGTGCTACTGTCCCTGGTCATGAATGGGTCCTTTTAAAAAGTCTTGAAGGTAATTCATTTTCAACCAGAGAACTTACATGATGTAAGTGCATAATGGAAGATTCCACCTTCATAAAGATGTAGTTTGTGAATGTACAGAGTAG